CATGCTTTTTCCATTGGATGTCAAAGTATTGATACACGATTTCGACCTCAAAAATATTTCCACAAGATCCGATGTTTCCCGAACACCGACGCAGCATCAGACTGCGGAAATCAATCCTTCGCAACCCTTCAAGAATACTGAAAAAAAAAGCCGGAACTTGTTCCAGGTTTTCATTTCGAGAAAAAGTCGTAATCCGCTTTCAAACATAGCTTGTAAATCGCGATCCAAAAAAACCTGTCAACTTTCTTGTCCTTTTCATTTCAAGGAAGGTGGAAGATACGATCACGAGGGAAACGAGAACATTTCCGGCCTTGAAGGAAAACCTGACGGATGAGTTCTCAGCTATAATTTTAAAAAAAGGGGGGGAGGGGGGACTACGAAATCACTCGAAAATACATTTCACGAGTTCCACCTGAAAACCGCGATGAGACAGAACAGCCTCTCATCGCCTTCGTGACAAACTAAATGTGCCTAATTTCCTCTCTGCTTTCCCGACGAAGAAAACAAGCGGTACCCCAATTTCCGCCCGTTTCATCCCTGACAAAAAAAAAAATCCCCAGCTGGTAAGCAACCATTTCCTCGTAATTAGCAAGATAATCCTACAACGACGGGTGGAAGTCGGCCGTTACACTTGTCCCTCGGTCGACGTCGTCATGCGGGAAGTTCAGAGGTCGACGTGATGCGACGCCATGTCGTGTCACACGGTAACACCAAATGCTGCGGATTTCCGCATTCTCCTCACCAACAGACCCCCTCCAACCAATGGCAAAAAATAAATAAATAAACAACCCGGTTTTTCTGCAAACGATACAGCACCACCATCGCCACCCCTCGCACCTGTTCGCTCCAGTACTCAGGAAGTTCGCCGGGCTTCTGTTTCAAGGTTTGAAAACATACCTCCTCAAGCTCAGTGAAGCTAAGATCCCCACGGAAACAAGTCAGTCTTCGCAACACAAGGGTCACGGGCAGAGGAAAAAAAATCTAGCCAGATTTATGAACGACACGAGTCGTTGGGTTGACACAGATAACGAATGAAAAATAAGAAATTCTACTCGACCGTGTAGCCAATCAAGACACGCTAAGCATGCTGAAAAAAAATATAAATAAGGTTCTCAGTATGCCCAACAGGCTGAGTCAGAATCCTCAAAAAAAAAAAAGAATACACTCGAGGCAACCCTCTGTTCGTTTGCCAAGAATTTTCGGGACTTTGTGTACAATATCTTGCTCATAAATTGGCATTTTAGGACAACACTCCCATGACGCATCAGTAGAAGAAACATTGCCAAGATTAAACGCTCTTTTTCCCTTAGAAGTTAGAACACCCATTTCAGATCTGAGATACGGATCATTTTGAAAATTTTTAAATGATTCGAAATACAGTACTGTACTGTATATCTGAAACTTGAAAAACATGTAAAATTGGCAGCTAAACTTGAATTTTTCACAAGGATGACTTACACACCCCCTTCTCCCTTTCATTCAAAACATAAGAGCAAAATTATATTAACATCTGTTTAAAAATCTTGGAAATGGGAACTGCGGTTAAACTGAGAGGCGGAAGTACCGTATGAATCAATCCTCACGCTTTTATTTTTAGCAGAACTACAATAATATATTTTCCTACAGCAAACACGTGAATTACAGTAAGGCAAACTAGTTTCCGCTTAAATTTTAAATTCGTCTACGCGAACTGCTCCAAGATACTCGATGTGAAATAGTCTTCCTCAAGACTGAAGAATAAGCGTCAAAATGCAATGCAAATGCAAATTTATTCGCAAATAAACGATCACTGGAAATCACCAAGAAAATCGTTTACACCACACAAAAAAGCTCTGTAACCCTCCCTCATCTATGAATGGCAATAAAAAAAGAATTGACTTCACGGCGCCGGACTGAATATTAATTCGAGGAGGATGAAAAAGGTATTAAGCTAAGTAATGGTGAATTACTCAGATATCACGATACTGATGAATTATCTCCGACACATCATTAATAACTGAAGTCTAGTCCCACTGTGGAAAGTCACAAGTGGTTGCCGAATACTGTACTGTGCGTAGTGCGCAGTTTCCAATCGACGTTGAAGAGTCGAACAAAAGGTATTGATACAAATTGAACATGAACTAACACTCCATCGTGCATACATAGATTGCGATCCAATGAAGTCGAATCCTAAAAGTTTCGCAGAAAACTTAGGAAAAATCTTTCTAAACCGAAAAAAACATTTAAAAATGCTGAATGAACTATGAGGGTTGTCACAGACTCGAGCTTCCTTTACAGTTGGCAAAGTAATATTTCATCATTCCTTGACCCATTTTTCCAAGTTATGATCACAAATTGAGAATTGAAAGTGCAACCCATCACCATGAGAAAAAGTAATTACCGAACTGAGAATTTCTGTAAATGCTGTAAAGTAGTATAGCCATAAAGATAAAACCAGTTTCCATTAAGATCTGAAAACTGATGCGTATCCTTCCTCCCCTAATTTTTCTCATGTTTTCGTGTGACAACAACAGCAAATCCTAGCAACATAAATTGTTTTTGTAACAAAAAAGGGTTCACTTTTCATGCCTGACTTTAATTCATGCCTGACTTTAAGCGAGAATCGCACGCACTGTATCATATATTGGTTGAATTTTACAATGTTCTACGAGAGGCACTAGAAAATGTTAACGAAGTTGAACGGGCAGCTAACTGAGCTCAGTTGAATGGCGCTCAGTTGTCTCAACATTCAGCTGGGTTTAGCGCTCAATTGACCCGCAATGAAAAAATATGCGAATACCACTGTTGCTTGTTTTATGAATTTACACGCAGTCCAAGAGCGAAAACGTTAACTACGATATATAAAATAGATGAAAATATCAACTGAGACAATAATTCAGACCTATCAGGTTTTCAGGTTTCGAAAAAAAAACAAAATTCCGGAGTCAGTGATATTAAATGCGAAAATTGTTCCGTAATGTTAATTGGTGAGCAAGACTTCGTTCGAGTAAAGGCTCTCATTGGAACACCAAAACAAATGAATGAAGGCTCTTTTCATGTCATGTTATGGATGACCAAAGAACTCAATATTCACGGAATAGGTTTCTAACGAAAATTTACAGTACAACCATCTCTTGCATTTGACAACATAAAAAGCTGTTATCTTCGACCAAGAAATCTAATTTTTTGGTCAATTGAAAAAATCAGTTCATTCACGAAAAAAATTTGACTGACAATTGAAACCAACCGTTACGTGATCGCAGACAGAACTTGAGAGAATCCCATCACAATTCGCACGTATTCTCGCGTTTAGCAGCGACCTAGAAGAATCGCACGCACTGTATCATATATTGGTTGAATTTTACAATGTTCTACGAGAGGCACTAGAAAATGTTAACGAAGTTGAACGGGCAGCTAACTGAGCTCAGTTGAATGGCGCTCAGTTGTCTCAAAATTCAGCTGGGTTTAGCGCTCAATTGACCCGCAATGAAAAAATATGCGAATACCCCTGTTGCTTGTTTTATGAATTTACACGCAGTCCAAGAGCGAAAACTTTAACTAGGATATATAAGATAGATGAAAATATCAACTGCGACAATAATTCAGACCTACCAGGTTTTCAGGTTTCGAAAAAAAAAAATCAAAATGCCGGAGTCGGTGATATTAAATGCGAAAATTGTTCCGTAATGTCAATTGGTGAGCAAGAATTCGTTCGAGTAAAGGCTCTCATTGGAACACCAAAACAAATGAATGAAGGCTCTTTTCATGTCATGTTATAGATGACCAAAGAACTCAATATTCACGGAATAGGTTTCTAAAGAAAATGTACAGTACAACCATCTCTTGCATTTGACAACATAAAAAGCTGTTATCTTCGACCAAGAAATCTAATTTTTTGGTCAATTGATTTTTTAGTCAAGTAAGTGCTTTTTTTAAACTGACTGTTAACTTTGGTTGGCAATGCACTAGCGTCTGTCTTGAACTCTCTTAGGGTAGTGTTAAGCGTGCATAAGAGCGCAAATCGTCGCTGGATCAAGACGCGCATATTTTTTCCCCTCGACATTCCTAGTTCGTCGGGACGTTATTAGAAGAAAATAAAACCGGGACGGCGATCTCCAACCCCTTCGACATAACTGTCGACTTAGCTTCAAAACAAGATGTTGACTAAGCACAAACGCTCATGCAAAAAAAAATGAATAAAAAGAAAAAGATCGCTGCTTTTCGCAAGCGTCATTACGTCTTTTCCTGTTTCTACTAAGCGTTCGAAATGCTCATACACTTAGCGGTGTCAAGTGATGGTAAAAAACGTGAGGAATGATGACAAATTGGAACCTCGGGATATTTCAGAGAGTGGAAATGTTTCGTGTGGAGGACGAAGTTTTACATCGTAGAATACTCGAGTCTCTCAGTTCGTTGTTACACAGTACAATACAACATAAAAAAAGTCCTTCACATTTAGGAAAAAAAAACATTAAAATGACCCGAGACAGTAACAAAAGAAAAAGCCACCGCTGTGACAGAAGACTGGAATAGAACTTCAGTCCAAGATATTTTCCTTTTTTCCCTGGATAATATGCGCCGAGACACGTGACTGCGCAGCGGAATTGCATGACGAGTTTTACTTTTAAACACTGACGAAACAGGAATCATTTCAAATACAGTGTACCAAAAAAACACTTCCCTGGCTTCAAAGTACCGATATTCTCTTTCATTCGGGTCTGATGTTCTTCGATGGAAGATGAATGTGTAGATATTTCAGGTCAGAAGTCATTCGAGAAACCATCGACTCCCTCACAAGCACGAAACCAATAGGTATTTAATGGGCTCGCCCAGCCAACGTAAGTATGAAATGGCTTATTGCAACACCTCGGGTCACCGGAGCACACGACAATGCTAAAGGTCAAAGTCGAAGGTGACGGCGTAAAATTCAGTGCCCGTGTGTTCTTCATAAAGAGGAAATTCTTCCAGATACTTTACCGTAACACGCAGAACGGATGTGAATTATAGCAAAACGAACTAACCTCGGAATGGATCCAGGATAGCCATAAATCTTGGACTGATATGAGTTTGTCATTTTTGTGGAATGCTTGTTGTCTCGTCACTGAAGATCCACCTTCCAACTGCAGCTCTTCACGCAAAAACTGTGATACAAAATTCAAAGAATGGATTCCCTTCTCTAATCATGTACAGTAATGCTCAACATCTTCCGGCAACATCTGATTTCTTTAAAAATCTTTCAAAATTTTGGAATAATACTCGTGAACCCGAAAATTACACGGAAACAAATTCATTTATGAAATGCTCTGAGATGTCTTCCAGCAAGAAGCTATCACAACAATGCATTACAGTAAAAAATTATTTCTTTGACAAGCTAAGAATATAAAAATTTAGCTACCGATGATTGAAGATGCAAAATATTTGGGAACGTTACTAGCGTACTATTGTTTTCCCGCGACCCAAAATCGGACGTCAAAGGGATGCCAAGATTAAAAAAAAAACAGTCTTTTGCAGTCATTTTCGGACCAGAATAACAGACTTAACGCCGGCAAGAATACAAAAATCAACCCACATCGTTCGACTCCGAAATGTCGACATCGCCGTTGGCATCATCATCAAGCTGGCGATGCAATGCTCGAATGGCTTCGTATTCAAGTCTGTCCAAGTAACACTGTTCGTCGTTAGTCCCTTCACACAGGGCTTCCATAAAAACTGAACGAAAAAAAGGCGTGGAATTTCTAAGCGACAGAAATTGAAGTCTCGACGTACCATCCATGCGAGTCGGAATCTTTGGTTTCATTGGTCTATCACCGATAGAATCTTCATCTTTCTGAGATGAAGAGCTGCCGAGGCGCAGAAGGAAGATGGCAAGCGCAGAAACAACTACCACAAGTCCATGGGACAATCGAATACCGGAACTTCCGCGTGATGGAGTGACCATCGCAAATGAGCAACGCGAAGCTTTTTGTGCAACGAGTAATTTGTGACAAGCATTTATAGGGCATTCTCACTTCTCTTCTTGAGAGAAGAGACTCTCATTAATCATTCTCATTCTCATTTCGTCTAAAGGAACTTTAGTTAACCCGAATTGAAACCAAAAGACACGCAATTGTTCGTATGGATTCTTTGACTAGAGAATGGACGAAAAGTTCAGATGATAATCAAACACATATTCACAAGTGTATCACACACGGATGCCACAGGGCCATTGATGCAAGAGCACGAGCTGGGCGACGGCAGCTGACTGAGGCGCAAGTCAGGGAATGTTCGGGGCATGTGCGGGAGCCAAGTATTTCTGTATTTTATCACAGAGCTTTTTCTTCTCCGCAGCACATTTTAAAAAAGAAACATCCCATCAAGTGAGAATTGAACACGAATACACGATTGAAAACTATTTCACCTTTTTTGAAGCAAGATCATTTCTTATTGAGATGCTGTTTTGGCATCAGCGCTTCCGCAACCGCACTTCGGGGGCTACTAAATTATATCCAAAGATCAGGTCCTGCTTCCAGCAATGGCATCCTTGGCCATGCAGCTTTCAATAGGTGGTCAAAGTGAACTGCGCCAGCAGTGCGGCGATTCGTAAAGTAAGCCAGCAGCCACTCCAAATTTCCAGTATATTCTGCCCGCGAAGTGTATATACTAATGTACTGGAACTCTTATGCAGTCGTTCCCGTGGGCCTCCGAGGTCTCAAGTTCTACAAAATTCTTGAAACGCAATTTATGCTTCTCGGGAATTCATTAATGAGCGGAATGCGCCTACTACGAACCCTTGTCGAGTTTTTCCGAGAAAAGAACCGCACACAATTTGGAATATTCACGATCAGCTACATATACTGTATAGGGAACCTCACGGAATGGAATTCGTCACAAAATAACTTATCCTCTGAATATTTGCACATAATCTTCCGATGAGGGATCACATTAATTATTCGTACATTACGCAATATACAGGTCTTCAGGTTTGAGATAACACGAAGACTAAAAACTATTGGCATGGAAAATATTTATGACCGCCCGTCAAGACGACGCATTTTTCCTTGAAAAACCAAAGGAAGGCTTCGCGGCGTAAGTATATCGGTTCCTGTTTAACTTGCGTTCAGATAGCCTCTTTCACGGTGATCCATGCGCAAAGGAAACTCTATGATAGTTCTCTAGTTCACTCCTGCCGTCTAAATAAAGCTTGTGCTTTGGTCGCAATACCGTAGCTATACACTGCCTGACGTGAAGCAACCACTGGTGTGTGGAGTCGGACAAGTTCACATACAATAAATTGTCGAATTCTAATGCTGAACCGTATGAATGGGGCCCCGCCCCCGCAATGTGGACATCATTGGTGCGTATTGGACCTTGTCCATGTCAGAGCACCTGTACGAGGGCTCTAACAAAAGTTCTTGGAATGGAAATGAAAATGGAGTCTAATATCGAGCTGAAAAAAATTATTCTTTAGGAAATACATATTCTTTGGCACACGAAAAAAATCAGCCCTGTTTGACAATTGTTTTTAATGTTATGCAAAATTCCCCCTGGCAGAGTTTTGCTATCCACTCAATAGATATATGAGGCGCCCTTCCTGCAGTTTTTTTTTTTTTTTTTGTAGCCCAGCTTTTCCCTCAGAATTCTTGAAACCAAGGTGGCACTAATTCCAAGGGTTGCCTCCAGATCTTCCAAGGTAATTTCGCCATTTTCATCTTATGAGAATATAGTTCCTCAAATTTTGAAGGTCACGTTTTATTTTCAAATGCTGCTCATCTTATCCTCTGAAAATTTTCTCAATTTAGTGAATCAACTCCTAAGGTTGTATATGATGGATCTCTCGTCACTAAGAGAAATACTTTGAACTATAGTAATGACAAGCTTATATTTGGTCAGATAAGATAAACTACCTGTATACTTACACTGGTTGGGAGAAATTAACTCCGAAAATTGACTTCCCATACCTTATCGTGCTTACGACATGGCATGGAAGTTACATAGCGTGTAACAGCAGCTGCGAACCCATTATGCGTAAAAATTTAACTATCAAAATGAGAAACTACTTGAATTAATAAGATCAATTAAAATTTCCCTAAAACATACATCATTCCGTATATGTAAAGACTCGAAGTGAATAAGATTAACTTGATTTTATACAATACGTTATCCAGCATCGAAAAAGGCCATCACGTAATTTGCATTCATGTGCAAAAGCTTTTCAGAAAAAAAGTTTCATCTGCCGAAATTATTGCTACTATATTCAGAAAAGACGCCGCAAAAGTTGGCTAAACAGGTGGACTCTTCCCGCAACGAACAAAATTTTAGGGATCACAAAAATGTGTTGTAGAGACAATTTCGTTCATGCGTATCCCTATAACACGAGCAGTGAACCGTATATAGGTACAACAATAAATTTTGTTTTACACGGAGAAATATCATTCTAGAGAGAATCTACGTGTATTTGATGCAGTATATCAAAGGTGTTTTCAGCTTTTACACTTAAGTGTAAGTTGTGAAATGACGTTCACCGCAAATTTTGTTCCGCCAAATATTTTTTGGGATGCTTCTGTAAACGCAATACATACAGTGTTATTCTTATCGTGCTGCCCATCATCAATATGACTCAAAATCCAAGTGCAAAAAATAACTTTGCAAAACCCAATTTTACTTCAAATATTTCGAAAATACCACGGAAACTAGCGACATTCATGTGGCTGTTGCTACCACCTTAAAAAATCCCCCTGCATGAAGATCATGAAATTATTTTTAAATTATGGTCAAGTTTCTACCTCTGTATTTGCTTTGGTATTATTGACGTTACATTAAACATCACAAAAATAGTGTCACCGGGTTACTGAACACCTTCTCGACATCGCGTTTATATTCATTGTACAGTACTGTACCGTAATTTTATTTTCCCTACAGCTTTAAATAATATTAAAGCTGAGCAGGTACGTTTTGGAACTCTTGCAAATGTGGGAAATGTGTAAAATTTGTGATCCAGGCATTTTTTGCCAAACTCATTGCCCATAATAAGAAGGCATAATAAAGAAATGAACAGTTCAGTCTTGTAAGAGTCCTATTTTTTTTCAGAGAACCTCATCTTTTTTACAATGAAAAAGCCTTCTTCCTGGGTGGCCTTTTTCGGCATCCCTATCATCGAATTAAAATTAGAGATTAAAAAAAAAGGGTTAGATCTCCTGGGAAATCTTTGAATTCTGCTTTTCTCATGTTGGAGGTTTTACCGTTGGTCACCGAAATGTAAAAAGAGAACCCTATAGTTCTGCAGCTGGTTGAAAAAGAACCCACCACGATTTGAGGGCTGAAACACGTTCTTCCAACATTTTTCTTCAAAACTCAAAGAGCCAAAGTTTTAATTTATAAAGCAGTATAGCAGCCACCATTAAAATGAAATATTGCTCTAAAATGTGTTTACTAATTTGGTCTACCTTGTAAAATCTTTGAAAAGAATCTTTGAATAGAAGATCAACTTTTTTTGAAATTTTCCTTTAAAATCTACAGAATAATCATATCCAGGGAAAATACTTTTAAAATCTTTCCAGCTGGCTAGTAAACCACCGACTCCACCCCTTGCCACCACCTCTGAGTTGGGCACCATCAATGTCTCAAAGGAACCACTCATTCCCTGCTTTTCCACATATCCACCAAATTGTACAGTACCAGGTACTTCAGCAAGTTAAGCAGGGGGGTTGACAATACGAGCGTACCACGAAGAGTTTTATGTCGTTCCGTGCTGAAGCGCAAATATAGAACCTTCTGCGCGAAGTGTATAGGAGGCTCCAAATATCCCGGTTTTTAAAAGGAGTAAATTTTGAAAAAAATTTCCCTCGTCGTACCCTTTGTACTGGTGTGGGTATGTGGTCCGCTTCCTGCTGACCAGGAAACCCAGAAGGAAACGAAGAGCCCTTTGTTGAGAGGGGTATTCTTCGGTCCGCGGGATTACGGCGCATTCGTCCTCTGACGACCGACTCGAACGGTTATTCCGCGGAGCTGTAAAACTGTCTCAGAATTATGCAAAAACTGTGTTCTGCCTGTGAAAAAGTGATGCAGTTTCCTTTGTTTCTTATCGTGCTATATGATCCGTATACTATCCATCATTTGCTGTCGTCGTGCGGTTTTCTCTTCATCGCCAGAGGAAAACTTTTTGTTGTTGGAAAATTAATTTGTTCAGGTCTTCTTCACACCTTGTTGAAAGCGAGTTCTTCCAAGAGAAGTTGCTGGTTATCGGGGCTGTATGAAAAACGAAGGCTCTTTATTTATGAAAGATGCAAACCCTTAGTTTAGCGTATGTTTTTGGTATATGGAGCGAAAATGAGCTCAATATTGAAGGAGTGCAAATAGCACAGTATTATGAATTTAATGAACCGACATTATAAGTTTTCTTTGCCCAGATTTCGACCTTCTACCACCTTATAGTAGCTTAATTTAACCCAAATTTTAAACAGTTGTAAAATACTGAGGTGTTTTAAAAAAATTCGATACGCCTTTGAAATATAGTTTTAGCAGCTAGCCCGTTCGAACATTAATTCAAATCAAAGTGATTCAAGTCAATTTTTTCAAAGCTGCCTAGCTGATTCCTGACATGATCACCCCAATTGAAAGACTTACTTCATTTGTGTGAAATATAGTTTCTATACTTTCAGCCAGAATGATTGAAAGTAAGTCGATATATAAATGATGTATGACAGAAAAGACGAAAGAACTTGCATGTCCGAGATACTGTATTCTAGTAGAAACATCCCGTCATAGTGAACGGTGTGGAGGAAAGACAAGCCACTTCCGATATTTATGCATTCAATTGACGGTTTTCGGCGTTCACAACTCATTAAAGCTTATATATGGAGTTCTTATGAGTTATGACAAACAAGAATGAAGGAAACACTTCGTTGTATGTATTGAATCCGCAGCATATTTTGAAAATTAATCTGTTCACATCACTAGGTCATCCATCAAATTTAACC